AAATAAATATCAAAAATATAAATCTTTGGCCGTAACCGGTTTGGCTCAGTGGATAGAGCGTTGGCCTGCGGACTGAAAGGTCCCAGGTTCGATTCCGGTCAAGGGCATGTGCCTTGGTTGCGGGCACATCCCCAGTGAGGGGTGTGCAGGAGGCAGCTGATCGATGTTTCTCTCTCATCGATGTTTCTAACTCTCTATCTCTCTCCCTTCCTCTCTGTAAAAAATCAATAAAATATATTTAAAAAAATAAAATAAAAATAAATCTTTGTTTTACTATGGTTGCAAATATCAAAAAATTTCTATATGTGACACGGCACCAGATGTAAGTTAAGGGTTTTTCAAAATGCTGACACGCCAAGCTCAAAAGGTTCACCATCACTGGTATAGATTTACATTTTTATTTTGTAAAATTTTCTATTGCATATGGCTGACTATTGAATTTCATTTGTGCTGAGGTTAACTTGGATATAACCAGTCACAGAGATGAACTGTGAACCAAAATAAGCTTGCTTTAGTTTTCCTTCCTCCATGGTTTATCTTGCTAATTTAAGGAATTATCCTTGAAATAAATCTGGATATTAGTTTTTAAGTTAATTGAATATAATTTTTTTTTTCTTACTGTAAATTCTTTAAGGGAAAAGAAGTTTGGGAGGGAGTTTTCTTTTTGTCTTAGGTTGATCTTTTATTGGAGAGAGCTTTGGTCCAGCCAGAACACTGAGGCATATCTCAAAGACCCTCCTGACCTTTTTTTCCCTGAGCATTCAATTCCCCAGGACCTCTGTTTGTGTGCCTGCCTTTTTTGTTGTTGCTTTATTTTCAGTGTATAATATTTTAAAAAGACTCTCCTGCAGTTGGAGTGTGCAACAATCAGAATTAGAATCATGTGTACTATAAAACTGTTGTAAACAGGAAGGAAAAGAACTCATCTCTAGGTTAGAGATGAGTTGCTTGATGTTGCTGTGAAGTTAATGCTGATGAACATTATATCAGCATTTAAAAAAAAAACAGTTTCAGTATAAGAGGTAGGAATTATATGTCTGGCTTTTAAAAAATTGAATAGTTGGTAACATTTTTAGTTTTCTTTGAGGTATTCCTTTGGAAAAGGAATTTGGATGATGGTTATGAGCTTCACTCCAAGAAGGGATACCTATTTAGGTATAGGATTGATTGGTAATGCTAGAAATCTCTGACCAAGTACCATAATTTTGTAAAGCTTATCAGTGAGCAAACACAGGGTTCATTTAATCAAAGCTAGAATCATCGGTAAAATTCATATGTCAAGTGGAACACAAATAATAGAAAATATCCTTCTTCCTATAATAGTCACATCATGAATTCTGGCTTAAATACTTCACATTTACATTTGTTTCACCTTTAAATAGGATTCTTAGGTGAGGATTCTTTTTCATAGTGATTTTCTTTTTATTTTTTTAAGTTGATCAGAGACCTTTATTCTGGTCCCTGTCATTCATTAAGCAACCAACACAAATCATTTTCTTTGTCTCTGCCTCAAGCAGCAGCAGTTGCATCCAGACAGAAATGGAAGACACAGCCATGGAAAACCTTATAGCGAAAAACTAACAGGTTATTTTGGCTTAGGTAAAGTTAGAATAGGAAAATATATGTGCGACTTCCCAAGGACTCTGTCCTTCAAAGCTGAGGCCTACAGAGGGCTAGCTGAAGGATGCAGGTAAAGGCTCACAAGTGTCCAGCTCAGTAGTCAATCCAAAGTACCTTCCAGAAAAGCAAATTCATCCACAGCTTCTATTGCATTATCCAAATCTCTCCTCTGGAGCGTTTTCCTTGTTGAGCACAGCAGTAGGCATCTTTTGCAATAGTCTCCACAAACAGTTCCGTGGCACGTGCCAGAATGAAGATGGCTTTCTGTCCCGTGAGTGACACATCAGGGTCTGCCTTAACCAGGGCCTTCACTTGCACCAGAGGCTGCCTCAAGAGCCTGGCCCTGGGTGCACTCTTAGGAGCTTGCGCCTGTGGGGCTGCTGCCTCCCCACTGAACCCCTTTTCGTGGGGCATCCTGCTTCCTGCAGCCCCGCCTGCGCCTCCGCCCAGCATGCTGGGTGAGGCCCCCTTTCTCTTGCCTGGACACAAAATAACTGTTAAGCCCAAGTATTTTTTTTCTCCTCAAAATTTTGTCCCGGGACCCTTTGGTCCACAGGCTGACGCTCTATCCACTGAGCCATACCAGGTAGGGCTCTTTTTAAAAGTTTTTTAAAAAATTTATTGATTTTAGAGAGGAAGGAAGAGAGAGAAACATCTTTTTGTTCCACTTATGCACTCGTTGGTACCTCAGATAAGTTATATTGTTTTATGTAGCTCTACATTAAAATCTAAAATCACCTCTCTTCTGCCCTGGCATCTTGAAAAATTGGGTACCTATTGAGTACCTATATATTAGAAAAGGCTAAATGCTCAAAGTGCCTTGCAGTTAAGTAGTCAGGAAGCAAATAGGGACCAGCTGCAATGCTAGAATAAAAACCCACTTTTTGCAAAGCTTGATTTTAGTGAGAAGGGTGTCCTTTGTGGACTGGCCCAGACCCAAACTTGCCCCACCTTAGATTTAAAAAAAAAAAGGCTGTCTTCTTCCCTTTGTGGTTTCTAAGTATTTGCTATAAGTTGTTGGTTTGTGGTAGCCAAGCTAATAAAGACTTTAGGAAGAAAACTATTTACGTGTTAGATCCAGATATCCTGGTAATGTTGGCTCTTTCTTTTGCCTGATTTTAGGAGTGTCTACAGCCTAGTCATGAGTTACTAATGTCAAGAAGTTTTCCCAGCAAAGGTATTCTGAACCTTTTGGGGGGCATAAGGACGTTTTGGAGAATCTGAGAACCAAAGACTCTAGGAAAACAGATATATATAAAACATTTGCATCTAATGTCTGGTTCTGCCTGACTACCTGAAGCAAATCCTTGGTTTTTAAGCATTTCTGCCTTAAAGGATTGGCATTATAATTGTACTAGACGCCCAGTGCATGAAAATTAATGCAGTGGAGGGGGTGTGCCTCAGCCCGGCCTGCCCCCTCTCACAGTCCGGGAGCTCTCGGGCGGGAGGCGACCCGGTGATCGGGGAAGGCACACCTCTGCTGCTGCTGCTGCCACTGCTGGCAGAGCTACCCTTAGCCAGCCCTGGTTACCTGAGCCCCGGGCAGCCACCATCTGACGCTTGCCTGCTTGGGCCGGCGACAGTCAATTAGCATATTCCCCCCTTATTGGCTGTGGGTGCTGCCATCTTTGAGGGCAGGGCAGTCAATTAGCATATTCCCTCCTTATTGGCTGTGGGCTCTGCCATCTTTGCGATGGTGTGAGGGTCAATTAGCATATTCCCTCTTTATTAGATAGGATTGTGTTTAATGCTGTTTGACTCAAATAGTGTTTAAAATTAACATGTACATATTTGATAGTGTGACTTTATTTTTATGTGCAGGAATCTGTGGGTAGCGAGTTTAGTTTAAAGGTTCTTGATGGTTAGCCCAGGTAGATTAAGCCACAGTTATTTCTAATTCTACATAAGAAACAAGACTATTGACCCTGTTTTATTAGAAATTGAGAATAATATAAAGATGTGTGTTCCATGCCATTGCTTTGCAAACTGGGTCTGGACCTGTAAGCTTTGAAATCCATTTGATGCATGTGACTAGCGTGAAAACAAATTAAAATAGATCAGAATAGAAAAAATTATTGTGTATCACAAGGTTAAGTAGTCAGTGAAACTTACTTGAGTGTGTGTATTTATGTAGGTATAGTTGCAAACATTTATATTTAAAGCATTTTTATTGGATTATGATGTGAAAATACAGGGTGGGGCAAAAGAAGGTTTACAGTTGTATTGAAAAGACAATAAATATGTAAGAATAAACTCTGTTTCAATAATTAATAAGTAATATAAAAATAAACTTTCCTGCACTCAATCAAGACTATAAACCTACTTTTGCCCCACCCTGTATTGTTTTTTTTACTAGAACAACCTTCTTTTATTTTTTAAATATATTTTTATTGATTTCAGAGAGGAAAGGAGAGGGAGAGGGAGATAGAAACATCAATGATGATAGAGAACAATTGATTGGCTGCCTCCTGCATGGCCCCCACTGGGGATTGAGCCCACAACCCAGACATGTGCCCTTGACTGGAATCGAGTCTGGGACCCTTTAGTCTGCAGGCCAACACTATCCACTGAGCCAAACCAGCTAGGGACCCACCCTGTGCGATGTGATTTTAAAAAGGTAGGGATCCACAGCTCTGTATCTGTCTGCTTTCGAGGTACTGAATTTCTAGTATTTTTGTAGGGAAGTGGTGTGATGAAGGGCTTAAGACAGGGGTGGGCAAACTTTTTGACTCGAGGGCCACAATGGGTTCTTAAACTGGACCGGAGGGCCGGAACAAAAGCATGGATGGAGTGTTTGTGTGAACTAATATAAATTCAAACTAAACATCATTACATAAAAGGGTACGGTCTTTTTTTTTTTTTAATTTTATTCATTTCAAATGGGCCGGATCCGGCCCGCGGGCCGTAGTTTGCCCACGGCTGGCTTAAGAGTAAAAGGGCAACTATTTTTGAACTTTAGTGATTAATAAAGTAGAAATGGGATTTTACAGATTCAATATTTTTTGGGTAGCTAAGGCTGAATTTGTTTTCTGAAGCTTTTGAAAGCTATTCTAACCAGAAGAAGATAAGTATATTACAAATTTATAATTGCATTTGCTTGGACATGTTATGTATATTTGAGTGAACATAAGTCAGATGCTTAATACTAAGAGATCTAGTATCCTTTCTGATTCAAGACTGGAAAGGTCTATTCTAAATAAGTTCAACTATTCTGGCATTGGGATTTTGGGGCAGGAGGTGGTCAGTGGTTTTTTATTTTTGTTCTTTAATGTGAAATAATTTTCAGGAAAGGTCATGTGAGTAAATATTAGGTATTGTTTAAGAAATTGTATTATAGCCATTAACTTAATGGCTTTCTTTTTCTTTCATTTCTTTCAAAGGTTTGGGCCCCACGGGATCCCTGTGACAGTATTTCCCAAAAGGGAATATAAGGATAAACCGGAAGCCATGCAGCTCCAAAGTAATACATTCCAAGAAGGGACAGAAGTCAAGTGTGAAGTGAATGGTGCTGTTCCCGACAACCCTTCTCCTGTCCCGCCACCTGAGCCGAGCTTGGCTGAAAACCTGTGGACTTCCAAACCACCACCACTCTTCCATGAAGGAGCACCTTACCCTCCCCCTTTGTTTATCAGGGACACATATAACCAATCGATACCTCAGCCACCTCCTCGGAAAATTAAGCGACCCAAACGAAAAATGTACAGGGAAGAATCTACTTCAATAATGAATGCTATTAAACTACGACCCAGGCAAGTCCTGTGTGACAAATGTAAAAACAGTGTTGTTGCTGAAAAAAAAGAAATTAGAAAAGGTAGTAGTGCAAGTGACTCTTCTAAATATGAAGATAGGAAACGGAGAAATGAAAGCGTAACTACTGTGAACAAAAAACTGAAAGCTGACCATAAAGTGGATGGGAAAAACCAAAATGAAAGCCAGAAAAGAAATGCTGTGGTTAAGGTTTCAAATATTGCTCACAGCAGAGGTAGAGTAGTCAAAGTTCCTGCTCAGGCGAATACATCAAAAGCTCAGTTAAGTACTAAAAAAGTGCTCCAGAGTAAGAACATGGATCATGCAAAAGCTCGGGAAGTGTTGAAAATTGCCAAAGAAAAGGCACAAAAGAAGCAAAGTGAAACCTCTGCATCCAGAAATGCACATTCAAAAGTCCACTTCACACGTCGATATCAGAATCCTAGCTCAGGTTCCCTTCCACCCCGGGTTCGTTTAAAACCACAAAGGTACAGGAATGAAGAAAATGACTCTTCTCTGAAGACGGGACTTGAGAAAATGCGGAGTGGCAAGCTGGCACCCAAGCCCCAGTCTCGTTGCACCTCTACCCGCTCAGCAGGTGAGGCCCCTTCAGAAAATCAGAGTCCCTCAAAAGGCCCTGAAGAGGCCAACAGTGAGGTTCAGGACACAAATGAAGTGCTTGT